GGGGTGATCTTTTGGAAGCAAGCTCATATGAACAACAGTGTTTCACCGAACACACAAGCATTGGAAATTCATAACAGACTGGAGTTTATTTCAGTGTTACCTGTCCGGGTGTGTATTTTACAGTTAAACACTTCCCAAAACTACAATAAAGCTGTGGTGTTTGGTATGAGTATTTCAGAAAGCGGCACCGCTCCTAAGGTCGCAGTGCCACAAAATACGGACACAAAAAGAGTTGTACTCCCCCAGCTCACCCCAGGCGCTTGCCTTAACTCGCTGCAGCACTGACACGGGTCTCATCGAGCTGCAGAAGACAAAGCTTTGGAACATTAGAACATATTTGCTCTCATGAGAAGCCTTCCCATTTAAAAAAAAAAAAAAAAAAAAGAAACAAATAGCTTTAAGGAATCATAGGGAGATTTTCCAGAAAACTGTCACACGGAACACTTTAGCTCCTCCCTGGTGCCTGTTTGCTTGTTAGAAGTCAATCGAGTGTCCCTTTGTTTGCAATTGTCACATCACAATTGGGTTCCATTCATCAAGTCCCGAAACGTAAATGTGCCTGTGTGGAATATTACGGCAGGTTTCAAAGCTGGAGGTGCTCGTCTGTGCTGTTTAATCGTCACAAACAAGGCAAGGTAAGATGAGACACCTGCTAAAGCAAGACTATGCTAAGGTACCGAGAGCGTAGGTGACATCCGTTTCTTTCCCTGGGGTGTGTGTGGGGAAGAGTGGGGGTGATGGCCAAGGGTAAACCAAAATCCTAGGCTAGAAGCCGCTTGCGTGTCTTAGACAGAAGATTGCACTCCGAAAGTCTCCTGAGAGGCGTACACCATGTACAGGAAGCCATCCTCGTCCTTCTCGCTCTCGTACACCTCGGATATGGGTGTGGAAACGCTCACCATGCTGTGTCCGTTCACCAGGAGGAAGAACGCCTGGTTGGAGTTCAGCTGCAGGCGTCGCCTGTTGGGGGGAGGTTGGGGGAGCGGAAGGGGAAGGAGTTTCACAGTGATGACCGTGCATTTCCACTCACATTAACAAAGGTTTTAGGACAGATGGCAAAACAAAGTCCTCCACCACCGCCAGCAGTAAGATGTCCCCACCCAAAGCAGCCCTGCCACTGGAGAAGGCATTTGCTTCCCACCTCTGAGTGGTATTAAATTCATCTACTGAGTCCAGCCAAGTACATCTACTGAGGGAAGCCCTTATTTCACCGGAAAAGCTACGCTCCAGAAGGGCACTAATCTGAAGCAAGAAGGAAGAGGTGATGATGATGATGATCCCTGCACAACCAGCAAACCTGCGAGGCCTGCGGGACCTTTGGCTTGCAGCTCAGCTCAACAGCATCTCCCTGGAAATGCAAACCCAGGCTGACCTGCAGAGATCCCTGTGAAGATGGGGAGGGAGGACGGGCAGAGCTTCCATGAGAAGGCCCTGGACCTCTTAAACTCCCCTTGTCACCAGCTCTGTAACAGCCCGAGTTTAACCGCTGGAGCATCTTGGCCCCTCTCCTTCTCCCTCCAAGGAGAAGCATCATGGGAAGGACAGAGCGCGACAGACTGCATGGCACAGTTAATGTCTAACTTTGGGGTTTGCCTTGGATCGTTCACCCCGGTTGGGGGGAAATAGGTATTTCTGCTAAACTGCCTACTGGAAAGCAGGTGTGCAGAGAGGAGCTCTTACTACTTCATAAACCAAGCGAGCAAGAGGAACTCGGATATGTGGAGGTGCAACCAAAGAAAGAAGGAAAGAACAACAGATCAGAAGAGCTTCCTGCCGCTTCTGCTCGCTGCTGAGGGGCACCAGCAACTGGAGAAGAGGAGGCTGAGGGGAGACCTGATCGCTCTCTACAACTACCTGACAGGAGGGTGTAGTGAGGTGGGTGTTGGTCTCTTCTCCCAAGTAACCAGCGACAGGACAAGAAGAAATGGCCTCAAGCTGCACCAGGGGAGGTTTAGATTGGATATTAGGAAAAATTTCTTCACGGAAAGGGTAGTCAAGCACTGGAACAGGCTGCCCAGAGAGGGGGTGGAGTCTCCATCCCTGGAAGCATTCAAAAAATGGGTAGACGTGGCACTTGCGGACACCGTTTAGTCTAGTCTACCCTTGACTGGTTTAGTGTGGACTTGGTAGTGCAGGTTAATGGTTGGACTGGATGATCTTAAAGGTCTTTTCCAACCTAAACGATTCTGTGATTCTATTTAGCCTCCCAGCCACAGCCCTGGGAAGGGACCCTTCCAAAACCAAGCTCTAATCACTCCAGAGACAGCAGGCTGAGAGAAGGCAGCAGCTACCTGAGGGCTGGGAGCTTTACTATGCACAAGGTGACCTGCCTGAGGACCAAGTCCAGCTGGTACCAAGTCACCTATTAGCAACGAAGCCAGAGAAAAAAGGTGGGGAAAATCCTCCAGCTTGCTGTTAACCTTTTTGCCTAGAGCCTTTAATGTTCATGGGAAATTCTGGAAGACTTGAGCAATCTGATTCCTGCTTCCAAAACCCTATCTCGCTTTCTTACTCATGTAAGAGCTGGGATTTGCTTGCGACAGACGGGTTTTGTACAAGCCTCCGAGGCAGGGAATTGTTTGGACATGCGGGACAACTCTCAGTTTTTACAGCTTGTGACCTCCAGCAACCCGCTCTCTGCTACACCGTGACCAACAAAAAGCAAACTCTGGTTTGCTGCTAACTTCCAAGTTTCCCGCTTGAGAACTCTTACTGATCAAATATTTCTTCTTGACATTAAGCCAGGAGAAACCACAATTTTAGACCACACAACTTCTACTCCATGGCTACTTCCCCTTTGCCTTTTCTTGTAAACAAAGCTCAAGCACCAGAGCGGAGCAGTACTCAAGCCGCAGTCTGTGCAAACAGCTGGGACAAGAAGACACTGGTCTGGACGTGTGTTTTTCAGGCCTCAACGCTGTCATTGAGGGAAACCTCATTTCACGATCAAAGGATGCCAACATCAATCCTAAGCAAGAGCTCAGAGCTCTGGCTGTGAGCCCAAACTCCCCCTCCAGTGGGTGGGAAGAGGCAGGCACTCCGGAGAGGGACTCCCAGGCAGAACACCAAGAAAGCATCCTAAAATAACCAAGCAGGAAGCGCTGGGGCCCTGGGCCAGAAGCACCCATGTTAGGCAGGGATTCACGGCCCCAGACTCCCTCCTACATCTCCGGGAACCAGTTATTTCTCTGAAAGCAGACTACCAGCTCAGCTCTTTTCAGAGTTTTTTCCCAGCAAAGCCAAAGGAAGAGCACCTTCTCGTGAATTTGTCCTAGTGATGGTACCACACACTCGTTAGATGGATTTTCCATTTAAGGAGTTCCCAAATGCATGCACTAGGTGGGGAATTAACAAAGAACCATAGCCTGAGGTTGATGGGGCTTACACTGAAATCACAGCATACTACCTGATAATTTTGATTAGCTCGCTCATGTTGACATGATCTGGCACCAGGAACTTGGTCTTATCCAAAACTGGAAGCTGCTTCTCTCCCTTGTACCTTTCAATGATCACCTAGAAAGAAACACAAAAAGAAAGGAGCAGAAGACATGAAAGGCAGAAATGGTGTCTGGTGCCCTCATCCCCCCCTTGCATTTTACACACAGCAAAGTACACGCATTTATGCTCAACTCCATTTCCTTTCACTTGTGAAGGCAGTGTCTCAAAACTGAAAAGCAATGATTATGTTCATCTTCACCTGCCCCTCTTGTTCTGTTTGCAAGAGTGACTGCACCAAGGGGTAACAAACAGGGATTTAACAGCAAACGCCCACAGCTTCAGTGCAGTTTTAGAACAGTGCATTTGCTGGAATCATTTAGTCTGGCACTGAACTACCCAGCAACAAGGAAACCCAAAAAAAAGATAAAGCACACTTCCCTCTAACACGTTACAGGGGCTGACTAGGGGCTTGGGCTGCTATGGAAGTCTGCAAACTGAACCAGTGTTCACTAGAATTTCTCCAGTTTCAGGCCATCTCTTTCTAAGAACTACACCTCCAGATTAGTATGCTATTCCATTCACCTTCCATGGTTACTCTAATACATGAAAGCAAGCTACTTTTGAAGGGTATAAAGCCTCAAAGGAGAGAATTTCCTCCTCCTTAATCTCAAGACAGCATGCTTAGGAACCAGTAATTCTGTCAAGATTGTTATGTAGTAACTGCTGAATTCACAAGGAAATGGCAGATTTGCCAATTTAAGTAGCACCCTGCCCAGCAACTGTATATAGTTCCTGCTTTTAAGAAATGATCTCAGAATTCGTGCGCTCCCGTTTCCACAGCCATGTGGGCTTTGTTGTTTTTATATCAACGGTAGCTACATGACACCATTCACTTGGATCATTTCCATGCTCACGGGGTCTGGCTGTGCTGATATTCAAAAGTTGCACAGGTGAAGAGATACCCAGCCCATTTAATGATATCAGAGAAAGACTTCCTTACACCAGTTTAAATAAATCCTGGCTCATTCTGGGAAAAAAAAAAACCCACAACACTGTTTTTAAAAAGGTAGACCATAACCAATAGATAGGATTTGCAACAGCAAAATGAAGGATGTTGACAGCACAGGAGGGATTTACCATCTAGCGTGACATTGCCATCTTATCTCATCCAGAACTGCTAATGATAATGAGGCAGCGACTCAAGCTAGGACATGGACAGGCAACCACAGCAAGCCTCCAGGGATCCCAGCAGGCCTCTGCCATAGCTTTGAGTTTGCATCACCGCATCTTCAGCAAGTTGCTTAGGTACCTCTGAATTTTTCCTAGTAATATGTCCACGGCTGACTTAAAATGAGAGCTTTGCTATAAATCAATGGCTTTCAATCTGTGGTCACAAAGTTTGGGGACTACAGCTAAGCGATCTGCGAAAGGTAGGTGAAAAAGCAATCTTCTGTCAGGAACCAGATTCCTTAGGAAAGGGCCTTTTGGGAAAGCTGCACATTCCAGAAAAGTCAGAAAATCTCTGCTATAAAATATTATTTACTCGCATGCCCAACAGCATAGTAAAACAGCAGCAGCAGCTTCAAGGTGAAGTACTTTAAAGCTGCAGGGAAACTGATAAACCCTTTGGTTTCTGTTTGACATGGAAGCAACAGCGGCTTCTGTAATGAATTTGCACTGGAACTGCAGACAGTTTGCAAGCAGTTTGTTCACAGAAGAATTTCCACTTACAGGGATCACCAGCTCTCATCACCGAGAACCAAAGGCTGAGGCGTCCGATTAAGTTCTCTCTGCTGTCCCCCAAGATCTCCCGAGACCCTCCCTGTTCCCCCAAATGGCCATAAGGACGGCTGCATTCGTCGCTTACTGCGGTGACAGCCAGCACACAACAGCCCACCACTTGTGAAGAACTCATCGGCAACAGATCACGATCCATGCCTTTTCCTTCCTAGGATGCTTTGCTTTGCATTTGTAACCTTGAGGGTGCCATAAAGAAAAGAAAAGAAAAATTCAGGCAGCATCTGGAGCTGACCAGCTAAAGAAAAGTGACGAGGTGAGGGCCGATCCCCTCTCAGAGGTGACCCAGCACCAGGTGGAGGGGTTTGACAGCCAAGCGGCATTTCTGGAGACCTCAAGCAAAGGCCTGTTTCCTGGAAGGCAAGCGTTTCTGTCTTTCTCAGCACAGATTGGTGATGGAAGCCGTTATCTGTCACTACATTACTGTGTATTCTTCTCAGTTAGCCTTTGCAGACTCTTCTTTTGGAGAAGAAAAACACTGAGATGAGAAGAGCTGAACACTCGGGGGCATCTCAGAGCTCAGACGGGGTGTGGTTTTCTTTGAAGTTACAGCTTCGGTACACAGGAAACCCCATTTCCTCCAGTCCCCAGCTAGCACCTTGCTCTACCATGCTGACTGCTGGTTATTAGTTTAAGAACGTTTCTGAAATCCAGGCTTAACCACCCTGAACAGCCAAATTTTAATGGTCTCATCAGGACAGCTCTTTTACAGGTTTCTAACTACTGAAAAGAACAGGAGACTGGAAATTGAACTGAAAAGGGAAAAGAACCAGACTTACTGGTATTTTAGTTGGATGCTGATCTCGAATCAGTCGTACATCTTCCACTCTTTGCTCTGCAAGACATTAAAAAAAAAAGTCTGTTCAAACATCCACACTGAATGCTATTATAACTTTCCTTCTCCACCACTGAAGAGAGGGACTGCATGTTAGTAAAAGCCAGAAAAGCAAATTCAGGCAAAGCAATTTTCAAATGGGACAGCACTGTCACAAGTAAAAGCTCTCCCTTGACAGATGATACTTTGCTCTTTAACCCAAGGTGACAAGTACTGCATGCAGGCTGCCTAGGACTCCTAGAAAGTGTTAAAGGAGATGGACCCCCCCACGCACACACACACCCTCATTTTCTGCCCACTAAAGCAGACATTTAATCTCATAAATTTATGGCATCAAGTTACACCACCCAAGTTAATGACTAAATGTCCTGTACTATTTCTGCAAGGTCCCGGAAGAGGAAGTTGTCAACAATTCCTTGAGACCTAAGACGAGCCGAAGCCTGGCAGCATCAGCTTACACCGTGCATTCTAGTATTACCGAATTACAGTTTTCTGTTTTGATTACGCCACACCCATTGTTGCAGAAGCTGTTGGTAGGTTCTTGCGTACCTAGACGTTTCACTGCTCTCTCTGCCAGTTTTCAGGATAAAGTTCACCTCTCCTCAGACATAAATATTAATAGCACAGATATTATAAACCAGGCTAAAGTATGCGTCCCAGCCAAAGTAAACAGACGCAGTTGCTTTCAGAAGCTGTTGCATCTGCTTACACCCTTACTTTCGGATTCGGTCAACTCAATTTTAACCTCTCCAGGTCTTTTCAGTGGGCTGGGGCTTTCCAGGCCGTCTCCATCTTATAAACACCTCTCAGAGAGAAGATTTAGTGTTGCATCACAGCTTTAACAGACACCCACCTAGGGAGAGGTGCTGCTCATGGGAGAGGAAGAGCTTAGATCAGCACCCGTCAGCCCAACTCGTTGCTGGTACGCTAATGCACGGGACATGCTACCATCACTCAGCAATAACATCACTCAGGTCTCCGTATTAAGCTTGTGTGCATGAAATATATCCGTGCGCCTCTTTACGAGCCCAGTAAGGAAATGCACCTCACGTGAATCACTGTTTTAAGCTGGAGGTGAATCAAGCAGAACTAAGGCAAGGAGTATGCAAAGCCTTCACCTGACTGCAAAACCAAGAACCTGAAAGCCATCCTGCTTCCCATCCCACAGCCCAAGCCATGCCCTTACAGACCAGCGCTAACACTTCAAGGGCAGAGATTACTAGCTAATTAAAATGCTTTTTAAGATTAACCAGAAACACAAGAGATACGGGGAGCGAATGAGACCGACCATCAGCCTAGCAAGCACAGAGAAGTTTGACTGACTTTCCAGCTGAAGCAGGTTTGTTCACGGCAGCGTTATTCAGCAGAACTCCACGGTGTAGAAGGAACATAAACTGGACAAATCATTGAGATTATTGTACGTGGCGTGTTCAAAATCAGGCTTCAGTCAGCCACAGATAAACACTGTTCTCTGACGACATTAGCTGCAGTGGCAACTGCTTGGCTGCCATCCTAGCTGAACTTAATACCTGCAACAGAGGCTGCTGACAGGCGACGGGGTCCAACAACAGTTTTGGAAGACCCGAAGAAAAACGCAGACCCTGTTAGGTCAAAATTCTGTCCGCTTCAATGCGGAGAACAGCTTACGTTTAACACAACAGCAAAGGCAAGGGTGGGCACACCGAAAAGCTTTCTTAAGCAGCCTGACTTTAACCCAAAGGCAGAAGGAAAAGAAAATCTGGATCAATTACTTCCACCAATTCCATTTTACGTGCGGGATTTTATAGTTCATGCCGAAATAGGTTACGCTGCCAGTTCATGTTACCCTCGGAGCATTTCAGCCTACCTCACCGACACACATGGACATACTGAGCTCCTTGATTGCTCTGGTCCCATCCTAAGCACAGAAAGAAGTGTTGGCACCGCTCTATCAAGGCTGCTCCTTCTAGAAAGAGACTAATCTCATTTCCCCAGCCATCATTACACAGCTCTTTTCGATGCCTTGCTAGTTTTCAATAAGTAAACCGAGACAGGAGACATACATCCCAGTCCACTCGCAACTCCCCGAGTAGAGGATTCCTCACACTGTGCCAAGTACCAAACTGCAAGTGGAGCTTAATTCTCCTGTCAATAGTGCAGACAAAGCTGGACACTGAGCAGACACGTCGGGAGGGAAGGGCAGGCCCAGCTCCTGGCACACAACACAAAGTGATATTTCCAGGCTCCTGGGAATTTTGCAGTCGATAATGGATGATGTGGAGAGGCGATCTCCCCACCCCAAGCTCCTCTCCCAACGCAGCGCAGAGCTCACCTCCGGGCAGCGCTGCCGCCCACCTCCACGCCTCGCTCAGCCC